AGGTCATTACCAGGAATGGCAGATTTCCTTCTCTAAAGGACATTAGTAAACCAGATAGGTTTTTCCTGACAATCAACAAAGGTTTCATAGTCATTATTAAACGCTTATTTCCAGATTATTATTGAAGTCAAATCCTACCATCTGCCATGACAGGATTCGAACCCCAGGACCCCAGAACTTTACCTGAATCGCTGCATTAATAATTGAGCGATAATACTTGTGCCATCATCTGATATTGAATTGCTTGTTCTAACATAATGGATATTATAGACTCCATTAACCTGAATATTAATCAAAATAGAATCATTATACAGTTAATATCCAAGAGAATATCCAAGCCATTGCTTGTAAGTGCATAACAGTTTGAATTGATTGTGTTCTCTGTTGCCAATCTTAGAACAATCCATTTACCTCTTTAAACTTATTGGCCCAGTGACAATTCGTTCATGCTCCAAGCAGTAATCTGGAGATTATTCCCTCACTTGTTCTGATTTTTCATTTAGCACTTAGCTGCTCATATTCCCTCAGTAGAACCCTTTTCCTCTTTCTACGTGTATCGTTGGTATCTATGTGGATCATGACAACTGGATCTTTCCCCTCCTATCCAAGTTCCTCTGTAGCCCAGATGAAACATCCTGGACCCAGGCACCAGCAGGTAACACAGCCTTCAGACTGTCAATCCTGACCGCAGAGAACAGTGTCTATTCCCCTGTCTGTGCTATCCCTGATTGCAACTATATTTCTCTTTTTTCACCTGTCTTGAATGGCTCCCTGTACCACAATGCTCTGGTCAGATTGCTCATCCTGTTGATATTCCGTGCTGTCATCCACACAGGATGCAAGAATCTCAAACCTGTTAGACAAGCTCAAGGGTTGAGTCTCCTTCGCCTCCACTTGCCTTGCTTGTAGTCACACCCTCCTGTCCCTGATCACCGACCGAATTTGAGGTAGTTAACCTAAGGGATGTGAGTGCCTCCTGAAACCCAGCGTTCAGGTAACTGTCTCCCTCCCTGCTGTGTTGCAGTGTTCAAAGCTCAGACTCCAACTCATCAACTCTGAGCTGGAGTTCCTCTAGCACCCTACAGATGCGATCACTATGAACAATAATGAATTCCATCACCTCCCACGTCACGCAGGTCTAACACATCGCCTGGCCCTACATCTCTTTTTTTTTACTTTGTTCTTAATTTGAGTTTTAAAAAATTCTTACTCATCTTTTAGTTTCTAATCTGTAAATATTTTTCATATTTACCTTCAACCTGAAAGTAACCTGCAATAGATAGTTGAATTATAAGTTATTAGAAATCAATGAATTTACAGTTTTGCTTTGATATCACTCTTTCTTTTGTGCTGGGCCACTAGTTCTGGTCTTCATTTAATCCTGTGAAAAGACTTTGCAAACGATGAAGCGAAAAAAAGCAAGCAAAAAGGACCTCTTCCCCTCTGCACCGAATTCCTACACTGCCTCCAGATTCCCTGAGCTGTATGCTCAATCTCACTGTGGATGTGAGTTCTCCTTCCTGACCATGTGCAGCTATTAACTTCTGCTCCAATGAACAGGAACAATCTGCTTAAAAAATTCTACTTCAATTTTCTTTTGCAATTTCTAATTTTCAAAATTATACAATGATGACTTATCAATTTCCTTTAAGATTATTCTGAGATAATTATGTTAGGATATTAATATCAAAGTGAGGAAAGTGACATTTATAATTCATTCATGGATTGTGGGCATTGCTGACCTGGGCCAGCATTCATTGTCTGTCTCTTATTACCCTTGAGAAGGGCTACCATCTTGAACTGTTGCAGTTAATGTTTATAACAGGTCTAAAATGCTGTTCAGGAGGGAGTTCCAGGATTTTGACTGAACAACACTGAAGTAGTGGCAATATATTTCCAAGTCAGGATGATGAGTTACTTGAAGGGAACTTCAGGTTCTGATGTTCCTGTGTATCTGCTGCCCTAATGCTGCTCGAAGGTACTAATTACACCATTGGAAGGTGCTGTCTGGGGACCCAATGCGAATTACTGCAGGGTATCTTTTAGATAGTACACATTGTTGCTCCTGAGCATTGGTGGTGGAGGGAGTAGGTGTTTATGGATGTGCTGGCTATGAAAAGGTATCAAAGTTCTTGAGTGTTGGTGGAGCTGCCCTGCTAACTGGCATCTGCTTGTCATGTTTCCTGTCATGATGACTTTGCTAGACTTGATTATTCATTTAGCAAGTGAGGGAATACAAACTTGGAAGTGTTGCCAAGGACTTCCTCCTATGTGGTCCGAATACACTTCCTATCCTGCTGATCAATAGTCAGCATTGATGAGGTCTACAAAAATCTTTTTGTTATGGTTTACAGAATGCATTGATAAAATTTACCTGAAGAGTTAGACTGGAACTGTTAAATATCAGTGAGCCATCCTGGAACTGATTAATGTTTTTCTCCCCACTATTGATTTGTGCACATTGAAAATTTAATTGATGTATCTGCTCTATGCAATAACAACAGAACTGTCAATTTATTGTAATTACTTCCAAGAAATGATGTGTCAAAGCACTTCACAACAGCTTTATAAAACATATTTTGACATGGAGCATGAAGATGATATTCAGATGATTGGTCAAAGGCTTGAATAAAGAGGTGGGCTTTAAGGAGTGTTTTGAGGGAGAAGACAGATTAAGGCAAAATGGCTCAAGACACGTTGAAGGGTCTTACAGCTTTGACTACTGAAGGCACTGACATCAACAGTGGAAAAATTAAAATTAGGATTGGCCAACAGGCCAGAATTAGAGGAATGCAGAATGCATGGTAGGTTGTGTGACTGGGGGATACTACAGATGTAGGAAGGATCTAGGCCTTGGAAGGATTTGAAAACAAGGATAATCATTTTGAAATCAGCTCCCAATTAATCAATGGTTCAATGCAAGTCAGTGGGCACAAGACTAAATGAGTGATTTTGATTTGATTTGATTTCTTATTGTCTCATGTACCGAGGTACAGTGAAAATTGTTATCTTATGTGCTCTACAGGCAGATGGTACTATACAAGTGCATCAGAGTAACAACAGAGTACAGGATAGAATGTTACAGCTGTTGAACAGGTTCAGAGAGAGACCAACATTAACATTTGAGAGGTCCATTCAAAAGTCTGATAGCAGCGGGAAAGATGCTGTTCTGGAATCTGTTTGTACGTGTATTCAAAATTTTATATCTTCTGCCCAATGGAAAATGGTGAACAAGACTATAACTGGGGTGGGAGGGATCTTGGATTATGTCAGTTGCTTTCCCAATGCAGCAGGAAGTATAGATGGAGTCCATGGAAGGAAGGCTGATTTGCGTAATGGACAAAGCTGTGTTCACAACTCTCTCTAGTTTCTTGCAGAAGAGCAGTTGTGATGCATCCAGATAGGATGCTTTCCATGGTGCATCTACAAAAATTTGTAAGAGTCTTTATGGTCATGCTGAATTTCATTAGGCTCCTGACGAAGTAGCGTTGTTGTGCTTTCTTGACCGTAGTGTCAAAATGGGTGGACCAGGACAGATTGTTGATGATCGTCACTCCTAGAAACTTTCACTGTTGACCATCTCCACCTCAGCACCATAGATGCAGACAGGGGCGTGCCCTCCAGTCTGCTTACTGAAATCAATGACCAGATCCTTTGTTTTACTGATGCTGATGGAGAATTTGTTGACTTTACACCATGCTGCTAAGCACTGTATCTCATTTCTGTACTCCACCTTGTTGTTATTTGAGATCTGACTTACAACGGTGATGTTGTCAGCAAACATATAAATATAGTTGGTGCAGAATTTGGCCACACTGTCTTGTGTGTATAAGGAATATAGTACGAAGCTGCGAAAGCAATTTTGCAGGGCACTGGTGTTGAGGATTATCATGGATGAAGTGTTGTCACCTATCCTTACTGACTGTGGTCTGTTGGTCAAAAAGTCGGGAATCTAGTCAGTGGGGAGCAGAGACTTAGGTCCCAGAGTTTGGAGATGAGTTTGTTTGGAATTATGGAGTTGAAGGCAGAGCTGTAGTCAATATGTAGAAGCCTGACGTAGGTATCCTTTTTGACCAGATGTTCCAGGGATGAGTGTACCATGGACCTGTTGCGTCAGTAGGCGAATTGCAAAGGATCAAGGCAATCTTCAATGCTGGAGTTGATGTGAGCAATGACTAAACTCTTGAAGCACTCCATAATTATGGAGGTCAGAGCAGTTGTCATTGAGGCATGCTACATAATTTATCTTTGGCACTGGGATGATTTTTACAGTGTAAAGACACAGGCAATTGAGCTTTGGTAATTTCAAGGGTACAATGTGGGATACCAACCAGAAATAGTCAAGCCTAGCATTAACAATGGGACAGATGAGGTCTCCAGTAGCAGATAACCTGAGATGGGAGCAATTTTGATGATGTTATAGGGATATGAATATGGTCTTTGTTAATTGAACATCACTTGCTTTTAATTATATCCAAGGGGAGGGCATTAATTGCAATTTTGCCTGAGTAAACTTAAAGAGACACTCAATGGATCATGGGTGATTGAGTTAGGAGTTTGATGCATGCAAAGTTGCACTCTAAGTAAATGTAACATTGTATATATATTGTTTTAAATATCATCTTTCCCTATCTAGAGTGTAACAGTCTTAACAATGGTACAGATATGTGGTTGGTAGCTCATCTCAGTCAAACAGCACATCAATATTGCAAGCTATCTGATATGTCCTGACACAACAATGCCCTCAGTAGATAGGGAATTGACTTTGTGGCAGAAAGTCAATGTTTAATTGGAGGAAATTCCTCCTTATTCAGTGCTGGCTGTCTGACAAACAGTGAAATTATTTAGTGGCAGTGGAGAATTGAAGAGGCAGTGGTGTGGTTCAGCTAGGTTTTGTCAATGTCCGAGGGAAAATTGACAATATGTTTTTGGATGATGTCACTGGAAGACAGGATGTAGATTAGAAACAGGAGGGGCCATGATGGATCCTTGATTGAACAATGTTAGCACATGCTCAGACTTCATTGATTAAACTCAAACAATATAAAGCCCCAAAGCAAGACTGCAGTTTTGGAAACCCGGACAAACTAAGTGCAAGAACTGAAAACTATGGTGCTGGTGTCAAATATTGCATTTTAGAATAAATGAGATATTAAATTATCTTGAATATATCAAGATCTTTTTCAGGCATTCTTCATGAATACATTTATTATGTACATTTATTATAAATACATTTATTGTTATATCTGAACTCATGCAAAGCATTTTGCTTTTTTTGTTTATCCCTCCTTCAGTTCTAATAAATTGAACAAATTTACATTTAACTTGAGTGTTCTGTCTTAGACTTTGATTGAGGAAGGCAGCTCTCATACATTAAGAAGCAAAGGAATAACATTTCTGGTTACTAACATCACATAGTTAGACTCCCTTTTGTGTTCTTTTACTTGGGCCTTATGCTGGCCTTGTATTTTGCTAAGAACCACAATGTATGTTTTGGAGCTCTGTTTACAGTTAGGAAATATGGTTAGATGCTTCTTGATTAATTTTCTTTTTCTTTGGTGCACTTTTAATTGAACCTTTCAATTCTTGCCTTTATTTTGAAATCTAATTTTCTATTTTATTCCACAAAACATTTGTCATCCTTTCTTCTCCTCGACTATGCTGTGCTGCCTCTATCTTTGTGACACTGAACTTTGACTCCAGATTGGCAGTTTGACGGTAAGACGGTGTATACTGAAGTTGCATATTCTTAATGTTTTTAAATGCTTGGCTAATCTAAATATTTACGTATAAAGAATTTAATCTGTCTAATTTAGTTTCATAGATAATGATGTGTTCAATTAAAATTTGCAGCATATAAAGGAAGGATTGGGAAAGAGAAAGCAGTTGCAGAACATATCTAACCTCTACTTAATCTAAATCTTGTTCTTCATGTATTGTTTCTGTATGAAAAGGAAATCGATAAAAATAACAACAAAACTTGTTTACATTTTTAAAATTGTGCTAATTGTTGTGTTTACTTCACAAGTTCTTAAAGTGTATGTGCATGATGTCTTTTGTTGCTGACAGATTGCAAGCTGGCAAGATCAGGTCCTCCAGCAACAATAGTAGCAATTGATGAAGAAAGTCGAAATGGTAAGTAGCATTTTATGTTTAAATTCAATAAAATTGTTTGCAATTTTGATTTTTGACAATCTGCAACAGAAAATAACCACTATGGAAGGAAACTTGCAAAAATAAATGTTGCTTTTGAATGAACTAAACTCAAATGTCTAACTTGAATTTAATTCTGTTAATTATATATGGAGAGCTGAGGCCAGAGGCACTGTAAATGACAATAATTGACAAACACTTAAGATGTTTTAATGACATTAATATGACAACTATTATAACAGAGGCATTAACCAAACGTTAATTACTTAGCTCATAATTTCAATTGTTATTTTGAGTAAGTTCAAGTCACAAATAAGTCACTTTTGGCATATATTGCATTATAGTGAAGACATGCCAATTGCAAATGCCTTGACAGAAGCACTTAACTAAGGGAAGATGCCAAAATAGTTCTGGGCATGGAAAGTAAAATTTCCATGTGCATGCCTATTTTTGAAACTTCAGTCATATGTACACTAAAATTTTGAATTGGGAATTCAAGTAACAGAGCAAAGAGGGAGTACAGTATTTAAACGAAATTGTGTTGACCTGTATCAAGTAGTGATTTATGATATTATTGTGATTATTATAGCAGGGTTATAGAAATGAATGACAAATCCTTTCAAGTTGAGAGTGTGACCTCCTCCTGCACTATAAATTTCTGTGATAAAGAAAGGATTTGTGCTTATCTAGCTGCATTCTTGGCATATGGTTTTGCAAAGCACGTCATACCCCATTAATTATTTCTGAAGTGTCGCCACTGTTGTCATGTAGGAAAACATGGTATCCATTTTGTATACAACAACAGATAAGCTATTCTGTGCTTGTTGGTGTTAATTGTGGTTTAGATGAATCAGGACCTAAAAAAAAGTGTAATGTAGTAATGGAATGTTTTGTATCTATATGAGTAGGCAAATGGGCTCTTGATTTACCATTTCATTTGTAAAACCATTCAATGGTCCTGCAATGCTTCACTCTGCAATTGGTCCACGTTTAGAATACAATGCCTGGAAGTGTTATGGGGCAGGTGCTATTGAGATATTCAAGAGGACATTGTTTCTATTTAAGCAATCAACCAATGTGCAGGATTATGGGCAAAAGACGAGAATTTGGTACCAAGTCAAAATGGAGCCACAGAATGGCCCTTTAACAATTCTGTGATTCTGTGTCAACTAGAAATATGTGTTGGTAAGTTCTAAACTGGGTCTTGAACCTACTACATCCACTTTGAGTGACGAGTTATAACATTGAGTCAAAGCTGAAACCTAAGATAAGTTTTGAACTGTGTTGGTCCTGCAGCAGCACCAAATGCTGCAACTCACTCAATGCAAGATTAAATTTATATTTTCAAATATATTTATCAATCATGTTGGCTTGAGACCAATAGCAGCAATGTAATTTATATACTCAATGCAAACATTTAAGCAACTGCATTGTGAAATTACATTAACTATTGATAATTTTAAAACAGTGGGTGACCCATGGGCTACAGCGCATTTGGCCTGCTTGACTGCAAGGACTACCACTTCAGCTAAACAATGAGCATTGGGCTCTCAGGTTATTTAAATCAATAAATGGCTCCCATAGGTAGAATAAATACCACACTGCTGGCAGACATATGAATTAGTGTCTGGAAGACATAATTTACTAAGTGCATTTGAGGGTTGCTACACATATTACTATTAGGGCTGCACTTGAGTTGTGAACATTAGGTTAATATACTGCTTTCTGCTTAATTGTCTCATGGTACTGGAGAACTTGTTAGAAAGTTGCACAAATAAGTAATTGCCATTGAAATAAATGACAGATAGTTATACTTCATAATCCCTTTAAGCACAAGGATTTAACTCTCCACCTGGCAAAACCACAATAGTGATTACGGAGGAGAATGAATGACTCACCCGCTCTGGTCTCACTGCCTTTGTATTCCAATATTAAACTGCTGTTTGGAGTCAGCAAGCAGAATGTGCCAATGAAGAAGTGTGCTCCTGTTTAGTTATGCAGATTGGGTCTTGATTTATGTTATGGGAACACACCGGCTGTAATTTTAGGTGGAAGCCTGTCCAGCAGAGTAGTGTTAATGTGTACTGCACCATTCCCACTTTCAAAACCAGGTACCTGCTTGAGCGTTAGCATCATCTTTTTGTGGTTGAAGAGGAACATGGAGTGTGAGCAGGGGATCCTTTTGTCATAGGTCACACAGGAAACAATAACACAAGTAGTTTTAAGAATGAGGCTTTGCTGAGAGGGTCCGAGTAGTTGAAACATAGAAAATAGGTGCAGGCGTAGGCTATTCAGCCCTTCACGCCTGCATCATAATTCAATACGATCACGGCTGATCGTGCAATTTCAGTATCCCATTCCTGCCCTCTCCCCAAACCCCTTGATCCCTTTAGCTACAAGGATGACATCCATCTCCCTCTTGAATAGATCTAATGAACTGGCCCCAACAGCTTCCTGAGGGAGAGAATTCCACAGGTTCACAACTCACTGAATGAAGAAATTCTTCCTCATTTCAGTGCTGAATGGCTTACCCCTTATTCTTAGATGGTTGCAGGCCAAATAGCATGCCAAATATCAAAACTAATAATCTCTAGGGTATAAGATGAAGCATGCTCAATTTGGTACAGTGTTTAATAGATCTGAAGGTTGAATGTGTTGCTCAGTGATATGGGAAACCGTTTCAATTCACAGGGCACTTACACCAATGTTAGAGAAAGATTGGAGTTGCTCCATTGGAATGGCTAAATGTAACCTGCATTATGGTCAGCTTAGTGGTGAATCAAATAACTAGCAAGACTGTTCTAAAATGGCATGGGTCGGGGGATGAGGAGAATATTATAAATTTGAAAAGGAAGATTACAGCCATAGGACAGTATTGTAATTTAGATAGAGGTAAACAGAGGGTTGACGGGAAGAGGCAAAATTTTAAAACATCACAAGGTTGATTTATGCTGCATACTTAATCTGCTTGAGTTCATGTAGGCAACATGCAAACTATGCATGCAACTTGCTGAGATCCATATAAAACTAACTTGCATTACTTGAGGACAGTTTGTCCATCTTAAAGGGAAGGTGTTATTTTTGAGCTGCAGCAGGTTCTGGAATTGGTTAAAGAAGAGTATTTGAGCAGAAAGGGGACTAGAATCAGTCGAGAAAGGTGATATCATCTCCTCCACAATAATCCTCAATACCAGTGCCCAACAAGGCTGCGTACTCAGCTCCTTACTATACTCCTTTTACACTCACAACTGTGTGACCAAATTCAGCTCTAACTCTATTTACAAATTAGCTGATGTCACCACCGTAGTGGATCAGATCTCAAACAGCAACGAGACGGAGTACAGGAGAAAGTAGTTAGCTTAGTGGCATGGTGTAAAGACAACAATCTCTCCTTCAGTGTCAACAAAATGAAGAAGCTGGTCATCAACTTCAGGAAGTGGAGTAGAGGACATGCTCCTTTCTGTATCACTAGTACTGAGGTGGAGGTAGTCGAGAACTTCAAAGTTCCTCAGAGTAAATATTACCAACAATCTGTCCTGGCCCATCCACATTGATGCTACAGTCAAGAAAGCACACCCTCTAGCTTCCTCAGAAAGCTAAGGAAATTTGGCATGTCCACAGTGAATTTTACTAATTTTTATAGATGCACAGTAGAAAGCATCCTATCCAGATGGATCACAGCTTGGTATGACAACTGCTCTGCCCAAGATCACCCAGAAACTACAGAGAATTGTGAACCATAGCCCAGTCCCTCTCAAAAACCAATCTTCCTTCCATTGGCACTGTCTATACTTCCTGCTGCCTCGGAAAAGCAGCCAACATAATCAAAGACCCTTCCACTGTGGTTATACTCTCTTCCTCCCTCTTCCATCGAGTAGAAGATAAACAAGTTTGAATACAGTTTCTTCCCTTCTGTTATCAGGCTTATGAATGAATCTTTCGTATATTGTAGTTGATCTTTGCCAGAACCTTCTCTATAGCTGTAACACTATATTCTGCATTCTGTTGTATTACCCTGATGTACTTATGTAAGGTATGATTTGTCTGGTTAGCACACAAACAATGCTTTTCACTGTATTTCAGTACGTGACATTAGTAAATCTAATTAAATCCAAGGAGTGTTATTACAGACTAGAGTGTGTTTCAGTCTTTTCTGATGCAGCAATGGATGCCTGGGTGGAAGTGGTAGACAGGAGGAGAGACCCTCTAGGAGGTCCTGGAGCTCTCCAGACAGATATTGTAAAGAGAAGGGGATGGTGCAAATAACTATTGGAGTCAATAGTGGCAATCCTGTTCTGATAACCTTGCTGCAGTGTCATAAAAAGCACACTGACTTCACATGAGTTACCAAGGTCAGTAAATACATTTCCATAAGTTATTAATAGCCCATTAGCCTCACACACTTACACATTCACCAAAGTTTGTCATTATCAATAATCTCTATAGAGCATGTTTCAGACAGAACATTCATAGCCATACCTGACCCTCTCAAATTTAGCATTGCTGCCTGCTTCACATTCACACATCAGTTTGCACAAATTGACAGTCGTTCAGCAGTGACACATACATTAGTGCACATTGCACACACTCACTGACACAGTTCCTTCTCTGTCCCATTATTGGAGGCAGCAGAACTGACCAATCTTACGCACCACCATTGGAGCATCTACAGCTTAGGCTGTGGACGGCAGTAGGACTGAAAACCACAGAGGGTGGTGAGATATTTTAGCCATATTCATCCTTTAGCATCTCCAGAGGGTGAAGTTGCACATGAATTCTGCTGCAGAAGGATCAAGTGAGGAGTTTTTTTTTATTGGACACTGTGTAGTATATGCACACTGAAATATTTGGTGCATTGGCAGACCCACCAGCTAGAAAGTCTGTGTCACTGTCAAGGATCACAATGGGTATCCAGCTTCAAGCTGGATCAAAGCTTCAGACAGAGCTTGGAACCTTTCCTTTTGAATGTGAGAACACTTGCT